CCTGGCTCTCCCAGGGCTGCCGCAGGGCAGGACGTGCTGCTTCTAAGGGCTTTCCAGAGCGAGGAGATTGCTGGCAGGGGCTGGAGACCAGAGTGCCTGCTGCCCTCTCTCTGTAATGTTGCAGGGGTCTGAACACTGGCAAGGCATCACTCTGCCGCCTGCTGTTCAGGGAACTCAGAGCTTCAAGGGCATGTAAGAACCAAAATTCATGAGCTCTGCAAGATGCAAGGAAAAGGGTTTGCATATTTTTTTATTGTAGGGACACCCAAAGCACGAGGATATTAAGAGCTTGCCTGAGACCAGCAAAGAAACCTCTGGCTGGGCCTGGATTCAGTGCAGCCACTGATGTGGGTCGCAGGATTACCAGTGACTCCGCGCCATCTCAGTGTTTGAGGCTGAACACCTTTGATCTGAGACACCCAAAATTAACCTGCCATGTTGGTTTAGTTCCAGTGCAGTGCAGTTCCTGGGATAGTTCCTCACTTCTTGATTCTCCCTCATTTGCCTTCGTTTGCTTTAGGTTAAGTTTCTGAGCTTTCTGCAGTGTTCATGCTTGAAAGAAACAGTCACCTAATAAAAAGGACTTTGAAACTTCGTTATTTGCATGGCACGGAAAGAAAGGGTGCGTGGGCTGAAACTTGTGCATCGTTAGTCATTGTGATATTTCATGCCACGGTGACTGCTCTTTCTTTCTGTGCTAGAAAGTCTGCATGTTCCCACCTCGTTTGGGAGCATGTGAGATATGTTGCGTTGTGTCCTGAGCCTGCCTGCAGCAGTTGTGGGCCTGTAACCCCCAATTAAACCTTCTTAGGAGATGGTGCCTTGCACAAACCCCTCTCCTGGGACGCGCTTGTAGCAAGTCGCAGCCCCTCTGGCAGAGGCAGCCTGGCTGCTGGTGCTGCTTGCTCATCACACAAGCTTCCTTCGCTCGTGGCTGATGCGATTCTGTGCAGCACCAGTTGTTAAAAAACAAGGTGTGAACGAGTGGGTCGGTTGGTGCTGAGTTTTGTTTCCCTTGACTCTGCCTTTGCTGATGTCCCTTGCCGTGAGTGAGGCCTCGTGGGGCTGTGCAGAGGCTCTTGCAGCAGGCGTTTGCTGGCAGCTGGATGCCGGTGGCCAATACCCAACTGCAGTCTGGGGTCTTGTCTCCTTGTGCATTGGATTTCTCTGGGGCTCCTCGAGCTCAAAGTAACCCACCACTGCTTGGGACAGGCAGAGGCTCGGAGCGGGGCAGCAGGAGATTTCTGTCTCAGCTGATGTTTCGGCCAGTGCCAGGGAAGGGCTGCAAGGCCCTTCCTGGGGGAGGATGAAAGGCAGCCGGGCTTCCTGGTGGCCCCTGCTGGGGCTGGGGCTTGGGCTGGGACAGGTGATGGCCACGGTTGCCCTCCTACGCTAGTCCTGACCTCACTTTTTGGGGCCCTGTGAGCAGTTCAGGTCGTGCAGCGTTTTCCTTGTCTGCCCCCATGTACTCTATGTTAATGAACTTGTGCCACCTCTTAAAGGTTTCTTGGAAACTCCTTTCCTTTGGTACTGACCTGACCAATTTTTGGCTCCTTAGAGCTGGGCCATCTATTTTGTCCTGCTCACCTCAGTCTCTAGGATCACTTTTTTTCTTTAGAGTCAGACTTTCAGTATTGAGATCCATGTTTTCCTTCTAACTGCTGCCTTTTTTTTCCATGCAGGATCAAAGGCTGGTGGGTGTCTCACCACTATGTCTCCACGTTTCTGTCTGGAGTGATGTTAACGTGGTGAGTTTTCTCTCGTCTGCTGGTAGGTGCTTCAAACAAACAGCATCATCTGAGCCTTTAAATCCCCTGTGACCATTTAAGTATGTCTGCGCTGGCACATGTCTTAATATTTGTCTGATGTTACTGATGTTTGGAATGCTAAATGCCACACTGTAAGCTTGTATTTACAAAGCTGGCTTAAAAAAAACCCACCACCACCAAAAAAAACCCTCCTAGAACTTAGTTGTGGTGACAGTACCAAAATCTCTGCAAGTTTCCCAGTCTCTCTCTTGTATAAAGAACTGAGCAAACAAGTAGCACTTTGCTTTAGTGGGAGAATGACAGCAAGTGAACTCTGTTCAGTGCCTTTACTGAATCCAGATTATAAATCAAGTATAAAGCGAAAAGTACAAGTTATGCTTGAATGGATGGTACTGTTTATCAAAAAACACAACGCACGCTGCGCAGGGTGACCATACAAACCATCTCAACTTTGTTTGGTATGGACTGATTAATAATTAAAAATTGTTTTAAAACAACACACACACATTTTTGGCTTTGCCTCTTTGAGGGAGTCATACAGTGGCTGGAGTGGAAGGTTCCTCGTACTCCGTATGTCCCAAATCACCTTTAGGATAAGGAATGGTACAGCACCCTCCCCCTTGGCCCCACCACTTTCAATCACTGCTGAACAGCTTTGATCGCTGCATAGAGAAAACTGCTATAAACAAATGAATAAGAGGGGGCAGCATTCAGACGAACTGGAGACGGGGAACCTAAGCAGATGACTTCCTACAACACAGGATTCCTATGTGTGGCAGTAACGCCCCTTCTAGGCTCTGTATGGGGTGGAGCTGGCTGGAAACCAGCTGCTTGCTTCATTTGCTGATAGGCTCGGGCTTGACTGACAAGAGAAAGGCACTGTGTAGTAGGCTTTATTTTTTCTTCTTTTTTTTTTTAATCAAATGAATAAACTTCTGTTGTGTTTTGCTTTCAGGCCAGATGGACTCATGTATCAAATGTTTCGCAGTCAATTTTTAGCGTTTTCAATATTTCAGAGTGAGTATATCTTGATAATTCAGTCTTGAATTGTACAAATATAAACAATATCATACAACTACAAATATACAATATGCAAATATAAACAATAGTTGAACGTTTTGGGATGTGTTAAACTAGTTTGATCCATTTTTTCCTTCTTCTGAATAGCCAACACAACATGTTTTCTCTCTCCTTCTCCAGGTTGTGTTCAGTTCCTCCAGTATTACTATCAGAGGGGCTGCCTATATAGACTCCGTGCTTTAGGGGAGAGAAACCACTTGGACCTTACAGTGGGTGAGGTTTTCTGCAGTACTCGGTTTGCAAAACTTTTATGTCAAGCCAAAGAGGCATATTTTAAATGCAGTGATACAAGGTGGGCTTTGTGGCCTTCAAAGAGCAAGGAATGCTTCCTTTGTATAGTTCTTATGTCCCTGCCCAGCTGCCTTGTCCTCAGGCAGGAAGGGAGCGAGGTTTTTATCCCTGTAGGTCAGAAGCAGAGGGCTTTGATCCCTGTCAGCCCCTCTCAGGGGTAAGCCTGGGGTGTTTTTCATCCCCATCCTTGTCTTCTTCCCATTACCACACATTCAAGTGTGCATTTTAAGCTAATTGGTTATTGCTGAGCAGGACAGGAATAGTCCTTACGGGGGGAGCAGGTTTGGGGATGGATTGTAGATGGTGGTCTGGCTGGGGAGAGCTGTTCCCCATGCGCCCCATGGAGAAACTGGGGGACGTTTCACAAAGGGGACAAGATGCAGCTTCGGTCCTGCCTCCTGGGGGCAGCCCCTGGCTCTCCTGTGCTCACTCTGTGCATCTTCTCTTAACCTTTTGCAGAAGGATTTCAGTCCTGGATGTGGCGGGGGCTGACGTTTCTCCTTCCCTTCTTGTTCTTTGGGCATGTAAGTTGAGCAGTCCAGTCCCTCCATCTGACCGTGCTCCATGTAAACGGGTGCTAGAGAGAATCCGCTGTTAGTGCTGTGACTGCAGCGCAGCAATGAGGAGGTTGTCTTTGAATCGCATGTACCTGTGGCAAATGTTTCTAAGCTTTGCTCGTAATGAAATTGCTTCTTTTCTTTTTAGTTTTGGCAGCTATATAATGCAATCACACTCTTTGGATTGTCAAGGCATAAGGAGTGCAAAGAATGGCAGGTGGGTGTTGGTTCCGCTCAGAAAGAACATGGGGGCAGGGGGATTTTTAAATTATTGTTGTTATTTTTTTAACTAGATCCTTAAAGACATTTGGGCAGCTAACCCCATCTAAATAGCTCAACATCATCTGGCAGAGCCTATACAGTAGAACTTCAGATACGTCAATTCTTTAAAATAAAGTTGAGTTACTATAGGAAAACTTGCACCCATAGGTAACCACACAAAAGCAAAGGCAGAAGGTGTAGGGGGAAGAAAACATATTTAGATTAAATATTCCACTGTGGCGTTCATGTACGCCAGCATGTGATAGCGATGACTGTGGAGCTGCTGGTTCTTTTTACTGCTAAACCATGGGTTACATGCAAAAAAAATATGATGACAATGAATCAGTTCAAAAATATATTATCCGCTTTATTACCCTATTTTTACAGCTCCTTCCATTTGTTTTCCTATTCACTGTCACCCATCAGGCATGTCTATCTTCCAGCTACCCTGTTGCTTCTGTAGATTCAGACTGATCACAGGCAGTGATGTATTTGACAATGTCACATGGCAGTGGTGCAGGCAATGTGATATTCTTTATTTTGGTCGAATCTTACTGTAGTTTGTCACCTGCTCACTTTGTTCACTGGCATAAAAGGAGGAACACAGCTTCTCATATAAACGTGTGCGCCACTGCTGTTAGGTGAGAGTGCTTGTAGCATAATGCTACATGAAACAGGTAACACTGCTATAGAAAGAAGCAACAGAAATTGGGGTGGGGAGACATAGATGAGTCTCAGTCTATTGTACAGAAAGAATAAAACCTCTCCTTGAGGGAGCCCTCTGAAGGAAGACCTGCCGTCCTATGTGGGTGTTCTAGTGGGGCAGCGTTTTAATGCTCACACTGACCCTGCTTAGTGCTGAGTCTGCTTCTGACCGGACCTCTCTGTGTGAGTGGCTCCCCTCTCCCTTAGCTATTGCCATCGTTAAACTCAAAAACCTGCTGAAACAGAACTAGCTCGCTTTTATTTGTCTTTTTTTCCCTCCTCAGGTTTTTGTATTGGCTTTCACATTTCTGCTGCTCTTCCTTGGGAACTTCCTCACTACTCTCAAAGTGGTGCACACTAAACTCCAGAAAAACAAAGACAAAATGAAGAAGCTGTGAACCAGCAGCAGTGTGAAGGATGCTGACATGGGAGCTCATCTTCCCTCCATCCGCAGCAGGCGCTCAGTGTTCAGACTGAACCTGTTGAACTGCAGCCGTGCTGTGAACAGGCCCTGGAAGGAATCGTCTCAGTGTTTGGCGAAAGATATGAACTCTTCCAGCACAGACTCAGTATTATGCAAGCATGGCTCTCCAGTCCGCACTTGTGCTATTTATGTATATTTAATACAAAACATGTTTGCTTTTTGGTTTTTCTGTATGTACAGCAGCATGCACCTGCCAGACGGAGTGCCAGTATTTGGAGAACGTGGGATCTACTGTAATTCCAGTTCTGGAATAATCTCTAATGCTTTCCTCTCCAGTTTTATTATTTAAATTCTGGGTATTGGATTTGCAAAGCTTTATAAACGCTCCAGGTCGATCAGTAATACAGACTGAATGCCGTTTTTGCAGGCATTTGTTTAAGGTGTATTTTCAGTGGCAATACTAACCTATGTGTACTGTGAAAAAAAAATCCCATCTTTGAACCATACTGCTGCTATATACGCTTTTAAAAAGCTATTTAATGAAGAGAAATCCTCTTCTAAAAGCAACAACAACAACAAAACCCAGCAAGCAAAACTAGCTGTTACATGGCAGGGAAGTCTGCTAACTCCCTTCCAGAGAGACCAAGTAATCTGTCCAGGCCTGGAAGAGACCTAAAATCACATAATATGCAGCTGGTTCAGCCCCTTATTAATAACAAACACACTGCCCTTTGGGTTGGTACGTTTGTGGTTTTTTTTTTTTTTTTTTTTTTTTTTTTTTTTTTTTTTTTTTAGATTCTGCTTTTCCTGAAAATGGCCTTGATCAGTGGCATTAAGTGCAGCAGCCACTCCCCTTCAGTTTGTTTTCAGTATTTTTTGCTCCCGGTGCCATTCTGGAAAGGTGGTGAAGACAGGCTAAGCGTAAGTATTAAATACTTTCCTTAGATACTGCATTTTTGCCATTATGGGATACCAGTTTGGCAAGAGTTAAGAGAATGTAAACACTTGGTCAGAAGTTTGGCTGAGGAGAAATATTGACTCTCATCCTTAACTCCTTTGTGCTTGAACTTAAATTTACTCATTCAAATACAGCTTGTTTGGGTGTTTTAACATCTGTACCTCCTAAACCCAGCTTCACTATTGTGAGCTGCTTTATGCAGCATATTTCTCAACTGTAAAGATTTTCTTTGTGCTAGCACAGTGTCCAGATTGGGCAAATGGCTTTGGCAGACCATGATTGGAAAATTATGCCCTTCTCCCAGTTAGTGTGCTCACAAAGAAATATATATGCACTGTAGACTTCAAATGGTTTCATCAATTATCTTGTTGCTGCAAGGCTAGCAAAATTACCTTTACAGTGTTGCTGTCCTGTGGGCATGAACAATAAATTTCAATTTGCATATTTTGAGCAAGTCTCACGCTAGCTGGGCTGTATCTTGCTGTATTAACTCTTGACTTTTGCACACCCTGTGAGGTCTTTTTGGAACTCTCCATTTATGAAATGTAAATTGCTTTATTTTGAGAGTAATGCTGGAACCTGCCGGATCCCAACAGTGGGACTGGTGCTCCAGGGGTGAGGGAGCTCTGCGCATGGTAACTTGAATTCTGCAGTACGAGAGACTCGGGTTATAGAAACAAGGAAAGATTCCAGCCACGGAACTGAGTGCAAGCGCGGTAACTTTCTGTTAAGGTGTTTCCATTACTTGCTGGGTAAGGTGACATAGGGTTCTGTATCTTTTTAGTGACAAATGTCTTCCTGTGGAGAAAGGGCACAATTCCTGAAATTGAGGTTTTTCTGTAGTCATCAAAGAGGTGCACAGACTAACAGTCTGTCATGTATTTTGTTTGTTTTGATTTTCCATTTTAAGCTCACAGGGATTCACAAACCTTAAATTAACTTGAAACAAGGTGAAGAAAAAATAAAAAACGTCAAGGATGAAGATCTGTTTATCTTACATGTAAAACAATAATGATGGCTCACCCCAAAGCAGGGATTTTTTACCTGCTGGTCATGTAACCAGCAGAGGATAAAGCTGCTCTTAGCCCCTGTGATCTGCCGTCACCAGGCTATACCTGCAGGTGTTTGGTCTAGCAGTAAAAATCCTTGCATGCATTGCCCAAACTTGGCAAAAAATGGTGCCTTTTTACCATTTTGAATCACAGAACCACAGGCTGGCTGAGGTTGGCAGGGACCTCTGGAGATCATCTAGTCCCACCCCCCTGCTCAAGCAGGGTCCTCTAGAGCACATTGCCCAGGATCGTGTCCAGACAACTCCAGGCAGGTTTTGAATATCTCCAGGGAAGGAGACTCCCCAACCTCTCTGGGCAACCTGTTCCAGTGCTCAGTCACCCTCCTAGGAAAGAAGTTCTTCCTCATGTTCAGCTGGACCTTCCTGTGTTTCGGTTGGTGCCTGTTGCCTCTTGTCCTATCGCTGGGCGTCCCGGAGAAGAGTTTGGCCCATCTTCTTGCCACCCTCCCTTCAGCTACTTATACACATTGATTAGATTCCCCCTCAGTCTTCTCTTCTCCAGGCTGAACAGGCCCAGCTCCCTCAGCCTTTCCTCAGAGGAGAGATGCTCCAGTCCCCTACTCATCTTGGAGCTCCTGGAGCAAGTCCAGCAAAGAGCTACACTGTCTCTCTTGTACTGGGAAGTCCAGAACTGGGCACAGTCCTCCAGATGTGACCTCACCAGGGCTGAGTAGAGGGGGAGGATCACCTGCTGGCAACACTCTGCCTAATGCACCCCAGGATGCCATTGCCTTCTTGGCCACAAGGGCACGTTGCTGGCTCATGGTCAATTTGTTGTCCACCAGGACACCCAGGTCCTTCTCTGTAGAGCTGCTTTCTAGCAGGTCAGCCCCCAGCCTGTACTGGTGCATGGGGTTCTTCCTCCCCAGGTGCAGGACCCTGCACTTCCCTTTGTTGAATTACATGAGGTTCCTCTCTGCCCATCTCTCCAGCCTGTTGACGTCCCTCTGAACAGCAGCACAGCCCTCTGGGGTATCAGCCCCTCCTCCCCGTTCTGGATCATCCGCAAACTTGCTGAGAGTGCACTCTGTGCCTTCAGCCAGGTCACTGATGACTAAGTTGAACAATACTGGACCCAGTATTGACCCCTAGGGGACACTGCTAGATACAGGCCTCCAACTAGACTCTGTGCCACGAGTCCTGTGTATTTTTGTTTAGGATGGGCAGTCATTTGCCTTATACAGAAAACTTTCCTCACCACCACATGTACTGCAGAAACCTCTCTGTCCGCCTCACGGGTTTCGTTCATGAAGGCTACAAAGTAGTGATCGCTCCAGAAATCTGAGATCTCCCTCTATGACAATGTGCAAAAGAACTGAGATTTGAGGCACAGGCACTAGGTTGTTCAGCAAGAGAAATCAATGATGTCCTTCAACAGACAACTGACACCTTCATCACAAAAGGGAGAGTTTATTTCACAGTAGTAGAGATTATTTCATCAGCTAATGAACATGAGTTGGCCAATTAAGTACTCTTCCGCCCCTAGCATGCACCCACATTTGCATCTGTCATGTAGTAAACTGCAGGAGTTTATTGTAAAATTGACTGTATATTGCACGGAGTAGCTGCTTTGAGTGCTTCTACCCTCAGTGCTGTAGATTAAATATTTCCCACGCTATTCCATTTCTGAATTGGAGCAACTGATGTATATCCAATGATGAGTAACGCTTTGTTATGGCAACAGGCCTTGCGAGGAGGCCTCTACAGGAGCAGCTCTGTGAAGTTGGCGCAGCAATAAAGGGGAGTGGATGCCCTGCCTGTGCAGTCTGGGGGACAGCTTGAGGCTAACTCAGTTCACTGCCATTGAGTAAATTAAGTTCTAATATTCATAGTTTCAAATTAATTCCTATCCTCTTTAAATGTGCTGCTCTAACATCAGTTCTTCTGAGAGAAGTGGCTTTTCTGCTTAAATTTAGTTAACCAAGGCAACAAATTGTAGCCAAAATGTACCACAGCTGATTTCCAGAGGAAAAAATAATCAAAAATCAGATAGTAGCAGTCACTGGTCGTTGCAGTTTACACTGGATCCAAGAACTTGGTGGTGATTCTTCATGGTTAGGAGCAAAAGCCAGATGGACAAAGGTACGTGCCATGAGTTAACTTGGAGAAAGAGCTTGGAAAACTTTGTGAGAGCAGGTCAACAGAAATGCAAAAATATTAAAAATTTAAAAATAAAAATCACTGCAGGAATAAGAACATGTAATGCAGGGGGGAAAAAAAGTCTTTACAATTACACTGTTGCTAAAATGTGAATCACTTGGCTGCAATGCCCATTTGCAGTCCAGATCATAGCACTGAGCACACCGTCCGATTCTTTTGGCGTTTGGCTTTTTTCATGGCATTTAGTGCAATGGTTGTTGCTTCTTTAAAAACATTTTCTATGTTTTCACGACATTTTGCTGAGCACTCCAGATAAATTTCTGCATTAATCTGCTGACAAGCTGCTTCGCCCTGGAAAGAAAAAAAGGAAAGGAAAGATGTAAACCTCAAGTTTGGGGTGGAAAAAGGTGAGTGAGGGAAGAAAAGCTGCTTCTTCTGATATAGCGCTAAGGCATAAGTGGTACTGGGAATAAATTATGAGCCAGTGGTAAAGAAACCTTTTTTCCCCTTAAGTTGACCTAGAAGCTGGCCCAGAAGTTCAGTGCATTAGAGGCTCTAAGCTGCAAACTGCTGATAGTGTAGAAATATTCTCCGTGTTAAGGTCCTTTAAAAGACATGCTGAGCTATAGATCCTCAAGTGAGAACTAAGTTGTCTGAATGGGTTATTTTTTCAGCATGTGGCCCTGACCATAACTAATATGTGATGCTATCTTCTGGAGTTTGCAAGCTCCAGCAATGAACATCATATACAAGATCAGAAGCTGGACCAATGTCTGTCTTTGTTTTGCTGGTGCTACGTACAGGACCCCTAACTTCTGCTTTGGAGCATCACAGGGGCTCAGCAGAAATCCTAATACAGAAACAGGTGCCTTCATGTCTCTAAACCTCACCCAAATGCCTGTGATGGAAACGGACTAGAATCTAAAGCGCTTGCATGCAATCTTGGTTGTGAAATCACTAGAGACAAAACCCAGTGATTTCTTACTTTGTAATCCTTTTATTGTCATGCAGCGTGAGCCCCCAGTTTTGAGCACTTGTGATCACACCTTGGAGAGTGCCTTTCAGGTCTGAAACCCATAGCTCACAAACTCTGCATTTATTTGTTATAAGCCCTGGGAGTGGGGTCACTTGAGCACTCAGACTTCTACAGGGGGATTCTTCTTCAGCATATTCAAGCAAAGTTTGTCTCCTTTCAGTTGTATGCAAGCTGCACTGCTGAGGGCTACTGTTCAGCTCCTCTGTGCCTGGCACTGGAAGCATCATGTCGCGTGACTCAAGATGCCACTCTAAGAGCTGTAAAAGACTGAGGTAGTGTATACTGGCAGGGGGAATGAAGTGGGAGGGCTTGCGAGATCAAGACCGTAGATCATACAGGCCATGGAATATAACTGCATGCTTGCTGCTGCCTGCCACCAGCGTTAGCCTCGCTTCACCTTCTCTTCTTCAGGCTTACGCTTGTGAACTTCTTTTTTTTTGTGAACATTTGTGTGATGAGCTGCTTGGGGGCTGGGAGGGAAATCGGGCAACTCTGGGGCAGTAACAGTGCCAGATGTGCGGCCTCAGCAGACTTGCCAGAGGACGTATGTCACTTGCCCTGTGTCTCAGGTGTAAGGATGATGAAGGGAGTTATTAATGCAAATGAGAGACAATCTGCAGATGTTCACGAAGCGACAAGACAGGCATCTCTTCTTGTGCATAAAGAAAAGCCAGAAGTCCTAACGTGGTTTAGGGCGATGCAGTAGCAGTTTCTTCTCATGGCGTTTAGAAAAACAAGTGATTCATTCAAGGTCTTAGTGAGGTTAACCTTGTTTCCCAGACTTGTGTCTAGAATGGTTCAAAAGCTGCTGTTCTTGCCCTGAAATGAGAGGAGAAGGATGGCTATGCAGTAAAATGAAAAAACAGGGAGGTGAGAGACCAGAGCAGAAAGGTCTCGTGTGACATGCAACGAGCTCTTCCACCGTTGACTAATGTTGCTCCTGTACCTAGGACAGCTATGCCTGTCTTGTAATACTGGTTGTGAGGCTCGGTGCTTTGCAATGCTTAAATTGAAAACACTTGATAATATGCAGTATGGTATTATTTTAGATTAGTTTAGAGACTTCAAAGAAAAGTTGTTTATGTTAGAAAAAACCTTACAGATGTTTTTGCTATTGTCCTTGGAAGGATTTATTTTTAAATATAGTTTGCAAAACACATTTTTTCCAGAACAGTCAATATTTTTAATCCAGTAACACGTATCCTAGTGTCTCCAGTCTTTCTCACAACCCCGATCAAAGTATCAGTGATGGGAGCAATGCCTTGTAACAAGAATTATGGAGGGAGTCTGATAAACTTGTTGAGGCCTACAAGTTCATAACAGTAATAACCCAGCTGTGAAAGGAAACAAGAATGAGGTGTAATGAGCCTAGGAGAGAGACACACAAGTGACCACCACTCCCTGCTCTCCCTAGGCTGGAAGGAAAACTTTAGTCTTGATACTAGTCTTAGTTAGTAGTGTCGTTTTCAGACAGCCCAAAATATACAAAACACTCATCAAGTTTCTCTTTGGTATGAAAAATGGGCAGTGATCTGGCCACTTTCCAAAAGGGCTTACAGAAGCCCCTGTTAATGCTGATTGTCAGTAATTTATCATCTGGACTTTGTGTTCACCTAATTTTGGAGTATCTGTGGTTGTAACTTGTCAGCAATGATGCCACTGAAATAAGTGTGCTTCGTCTCCTGCATAAAAGATGACACTTTCAATGCACTTGTATTTACCTGGTTATAAGTAATTGGCTCCTGCTGAGAGGCCCTGAGCTTACGCAACTGTTCTTTGTCTTTTCGAAGGTCTGTCTTGCAGCCGATCAGTACGAGAGGGGCACCTCGGCAGAAGTGACTCACTTCAGGGTACCACTGATAATAGAAAAACAAAACTTTTACATCAGTTTTTCAGAAATCAAAACAATAAAGCCAAGAAACAGAGTCAGCACTTAATATTCACTGCAATTTCAGGGTTTTGAAAGTCCTTAACCTAGTGCTGGTGCACAAAATGCATTATGTACATTACAGAAACATTCGAAAGTCCTAGCCAAAGTCAGTTGCTTTATAAAAGCATAGGCGCAGCGTATGCCGCTATGCCAAAGCACTTACTTAAAAGCCATTTAAATTCAGAACCTCTAAAGCTGTCTTTAAGAGCAGAACTTGGACCAAGTCTTGTTTTGTTTTGCTGGTGCAACATACAGGAACCCTAACTTCTCCTCTGGAGTATTACAAGGGCTCAGAAGAAATCCTATTACTTACAGCGGGTGCTTATATATATATGATGGAAGTCAAGTAGATTTGAATTTAAAAAATTTGCATGCAGTCTTGGTTGTGTGACATCGCTATAGATAGAACAGTGATTTTAGGTTTGGTTTGTGATCCTTTTAGTGTACTGCAGAGCCAACCCCCAATTCTGAGCACTTGCGAGCCTTCGAGAGCTGAGTCCTAAGTGTGAGGACTGTGACCCATAGCCCAATGCAGGATGAACGATCTGTGCGTTTATAAGCCTTGGGGACAGGGCTACTAAAAGCCATCAGTTTTTTGAATCAGATATCTTGTCATACATTGGGCATATTTAATTCATATAAAAGGTGGAAGCAGTTATGAAAGCCTCTTACCTTAACTACTACATTATCATAGCTAGTGGGATTCATGACATCGTAACAAATTAACACTACGTTTGTGTTCTGGTAAGAAAGTGGTCGTAGCCGATCGTAGTCCTCCTGCCCTGAAACACAGAGAATGTTTTGAATAAAAAAAACCTGTCCTTAACAGACAGTACAACAGGAATATGTAAAATACATACTTCAGATCAAGAACAAGAGTTATTGTAATTGCGCTGACTGAAAATTTTCCTTTTTTGTAAAATTCCCTCCCTTAATTGCAGGAGATTCCTCTTCAGTGACGAAACTGATGGGTTTGAATAAAAAAAATGTGTCCTTAGAAAGTTTTATTAAAAAGGATGCTTTGTCCAACTATTACGTATTTAGAAGCAGTTTTAATCAGCGATTGTTGAGTTGTTGCTCACAAGCAAAACCAACAAGAGGAATCTGATAGTTATTGATTAAAATGTTTGCAGTTTGGCAGTGGCCCCATTCTCCCAGATGCATTTGCACATGCAACGTTGTAAAGAGAAAAAATACCATATCTGCTAGACACAAATGCTGAAGCAAGCAAGCTAAGTGGCAGCCTTGCTCTTCCCAGCCCTGTAAGCTGAGAGGAAGCAGCGATTAGCATGCTGTTCCTTCAGCACCTGCGCCCTCTGTGCCCACATTTTACTAGCAGCGAGCAGCTGATTTTACAAGACACAGAGCAACATGAACCAGCCTTAACTGATCTTTGAAACAGGACTTCTCAGCAGGTCCCAGGGCTGCTGCTGAATTCTGGAAAAGCATAGGATTTTTCAGAGTTCTGATTAGCAATATTGCAAAACATGATCAGACAACAGGAAGTTAATTTGCTTCAGTCCTGTACTCTTCCCCTTTGCTTGCAGTTGCTCATGCTGTACATATGACTTAGCAGTCATCGCAGTGCTGGGCTCTGATGGTGTCTTGCTTTTGAGAGGGCAAGTTCAAGAAACCCAGTGATTACCAGAGACAGTTGGCAGATCAGAAAACAAGACCTTTTTCATTTGAGATGTTTTTCAGAGACATTATTAAGGAAGAAACCACCATTTAAGCAGAGAGTAGAAGATCTATTTACCACTTGAATGCTGCCCTGGGAATCAGGTAAGTCGCTGTGACGCACTGTTATTCCCAAAATGAGAATTGGGAATGTCGGTCCTTTGCCTGATCACTGCACTATGTATACTGGGCTGGGAGTCTGCCTGCACCCTGCCCTACAGAAGTTACACATCTTTGCATTGGCAAATCAAATGGAGGGATGCTAAAAACGTAAGCATGCTCCAACTTTATACCAACTATTCCTGTCTTGGCACCCAGCTCCAAGTCACATACTCATTACTCTAGCCAACATGCTTGTCTCAAGTTACTTTTGAAGATGCCCAGTAACTCTCTACACTACTTTGTCATCCCTCTTATTTTAAACCATGGACTGAGATATGGATTATTACAAGGCAATTCCTACTAGATAACCCATTACTCAGTTTGCCCGAGAAGTATGTAAAAAAGGAATTTTAAGTTTGGACCACTCACTGCATTTGAGCTCCCATAAGAGCAGCATGTTCCATGGGTGACATTCAGAACAAAGGAGGCATGAACCCTTAAGGTTTAATCCAAAAATAATAGACAATTGGCAAAATTATGCATGTTGTATAAACATTCAGAGCAAAGACTGTACTGTTTATTCCCTTCTTATTCTCCCAAATCCACCTACTTGTTTGCAACTGATTTACCATTTTGTTGCTGAGATAATCCTCTAAATGCATTAAACGTATCAGGTGCCAAACTTTTTTTTTTTTTTTTTTTACTACTTATTTCCCCCAGTGTTATGGGCTGGATATGTTTTTCCCTTTCAAAATCATGCCTCCGAGCCTCTAAAAAGGTAGCTTGAAAATCAAGTTATCAAATCCTCCAAGTTACTGCTGGCTATTTGTGAGGCAGAGGGGAGTGTCCCATTTGAATAAACCACAGAAGCTTGCCTGAAGTCAGAACATACTGCTAAACCATGCTCTCCTAGGTAGGATGACAGAAGTGTCTTTGAGACACAGATGTGCTTTGTTGTAAGCCAAAAGATACAGATGTGATTGCCCCAGTGAACTGCACCTTCATCTTCAAAATCAGTTTTGAGGTTAAGATTTTGAAGTAAACTGAGAAAATAAATGCATGAGAAAGTACTGCTCTGTAAAATGCAAACGTTTCTTTCTTCCTTCATGTTTGAAACATCAAATACAGAGCACAGGACAAGGTAAAATGCAGAAACCACAGCGGCAAGGTTAGATGGTAGGTTGTTTAACTTGTACTGTGGCGAGATAATTGCAGCTCTCACTTGGAAGGAGAGGAAGCTATTATTTAAGAGTTTACAGTTCTTCAGTTGTGGGTGTAACAGGACCCAGATCAAGTTGTAAGTGTCTGAACATCAACAGCTCTCTTCCAAGAACTTTATTGAAAACATTTTCTTTCACAGCCTCTCCTTAAGCACTGCTGATGAAATGCAAAAAAGGGCATGGGAGACTTTTTCTGTAAAGTTGCTCGGTCTGTGGTCAGAGTTTATTTGGCTCAGATTTAGGTCTTCTGGTAGAAGAGTTTTAAAATGAAGGACCAGAGCTGAACCTAAGTGGCTGCTGAATGTATATGCAAAACACCTGAGTGTGTGTTCCTTCAACCACATTATTTTCTTTCCCCCAGTTAACAAAAAACATCCTATGAAAGAATCAGGTAAATATACACCTGTGTTTGCACATACCTGTGACTCTCCTCTGGCTTCCCTCCATTCATTGTAGTGTAAGAGACTGTGGGGTTGGGTTTTTTTTTTTTTTTTGAGACTTTCCCTGTCCAGCTGAATTCACCTGAAATTCCCTCATTCTTTGCAAAGATCATGTGCTCACATTGCTCTGTCAGGTGCCACATAACCCAGGTCACTGCAGTTGAGCCTGAAGAAGGGGTAGGACCTCAAGCCATGTTTGAGGAGAGGAGGAGGAAGTGAAACCACAGGTCTCGATTTCACATGCATGTTCACCTCTGCTCTTCCTCTCCCCTCCCACCAGAGGAAGTGCAAGCTGGTTTGCAGCTCAGGCTGTAAAGGACCTCAGCAGCTGCTTGCAGTGCAGGGACAACAGCTGTGCAGGGACATTTAAATCTCTTCAGGCACTCTGGGTCACTAGGAAGGTGGCAAAGTCCTCCCATCACGGCACTGCTTCGTGCATGGCCTCTGAGCTTTCCTGCAGGCATCCGTCTCTCCATCTATCAGACTGTGAGGGTTAACTGTTGCCTTGGCATACTCAGCCTAGGGAACCAGGGCAGCTTTTCATGCCTCTCTAGAGGCAGTGGGGAACATCCTCCTTCTAAACCTGATTAATTAGCGGCTTTTTATCTCTCTTGTACTCATAGGTGGTATTTCTGGCAGTTCTCCTAATGACTGTGTGAGGGCCTAAGTTGGGCATGAGGAGATGCTGAAGTACCAGGTGCTGCAGGCCCCGTCTTCCAGTGCACTGCACCAGGCCTGTGGCAAACCCCACAGGACTGACCAACGTCGCATAGAGAAGTGTTTTATAACATGTAAAATGCCACATTGTAAAGTTACCAAAAAACGCTCACAGGCCTGCCACACTGTCAGGGTAAGGAAAAGCCAGCGACAACTCAATGGACCTCGGAGTTGAAGAAACATATCTTTAAAGGAAAAAAAAAAAAAAACATAGCACAGGAGAGAGCTCTTCTAAAGACAGGGCAGATAATCCCCTGAGCACGCACAACAGCCCCCTCCAACACACAGATGCATCTGATTTTTGTTCTTGCAAACCTTTTAAAGTAGAACAATTACTTTCAGTGCAATTAATCCTTACAGAGATGAAGGCAGAGTGCTGGATGGAATTAGTCAGGAAGGAGGAGAGCAGGCCCAGGGCCTGTTTTGCAGGTTCACTTGTACAGATGATGCCAGTAGCTGAGCCTGTTCTGAAAACACAGTGGAGCAGTGGCAATGAGGATGTTGAACTAATCTTTACCCCCCTACAGCAGAAAGAAGGTAAGAGACCAGTCACGATTTCTAGCCTATTAACATGTCTCCTGTTTGAACAGATGCTACCTAAGGCATGGCTGGGGCCACAGACGTTCAGAATGCTCACTGCTAAGGTGCAGAGGTCAGTCTAGTGGCTGATTTTTATTTCTAATTTTCCCAAAGAAAAGCAGTCTATCTGGCAGAGGTAAGTCTGTGCCCCTCCAGCAAAAGCAAAGAGGGACAAAGCAACTTACAGATGCAATCCTGCTACGTTCCTGTTTAATAACTGATCGCAGAGTTCCACAAAATCATCTCGTTGCACAATAAAGCGTTCTCTTTCTGACTTTAAAAGTTTTTCCCTGTGTATCTCAGGAAAAAAAAAAAATCTAAAATATGAAACAGTCACTTTTTAAAAAAAATCTAAACACGTTTGTAACTAAATGCTTTCTCATATGGACAAACTTTCTACAAGACTGCCATTCACAGGAGAAGGTAAACAATATATTCAAAAATAACCAGTGGCAGCCTAGTCTGCCAGCGAGTGCTGCTCTCTAACTTACAGCAGCACTGTCCATTGCCACCAACTGCCAGGGCAGAAGGAAGAATGTAATATCCTGTCACCTACTTCAGACCAGCCAACCACTTCCTATATATGTCAATGGGTTGTCTTAAATACAGTACACAGTATTTAAAACTAACATGTAATCGTATAGTGGAGAGCCCATACAGACACAAGGAAGTGCACAAAAATCTCTTTAGTTTGCTATTCTGCAGACTCCAGAGAATACCCTGGTTGCCAGCTTGGCAGCTGAGCTTTTGTGCTACTCTGTTTAGAAAAATCTCTGACACTTACTTTCTTCCTCACAGGAATAAAACTAGTAGAAGAGGGAGGTGAGGGGGATGGGGGCATGTTTCAGTTAACAAGTGAGTATTTTTTCTTCCTCAGGCTCTCCCTCTCTCTTTCAAAGTTATGAACAATTATTTTTGCATATACCCCTCTTTAAATTTCTCTTAAGGCCTCGGACTGTAGTGCATTTGTCATTCTGGACCTCAGGACTCTGCTGGAGGCTTCAAGTGCATTTCCTGCCAGCCAGGGTAAGTGCCCACAATGATTAGGCATTACTTCCTCCCCAGCTCCATCTATTTTTTTCTCTGTTCTGAGAAAGTCTTGCACCTTGCAGAAGTTAAACCTCATGTCTGAACTGCAGCTAAAGCATCAACGCCATATTCCCTTAGCAGGTAAACAATTCTGAAGTTAATTTACCTTGCAATTCCTTTGTCTCTGTCAAGCACAGTGAGAAATAGAATTTTTTAATTGAATAAGCAACTGCAGTTTGCACATGAGATGATTGATATTGCAAGGTCTTTACAGATTGCGTATATTTAGCACCAACTTCCTGCAACAGCAAGAGATGTCTCTGAGGATGATTAGAGTGGCATAATACAAGTCTCTCTCGCAAAAAAAGAACTATTATTCTAGCATATTTTAGATTAGTTCATTAATTTGTTAACAAAATGTTTGCCAAGGAAAAAAATCTTCTGTAGCTTGAAATGCTTGATTCTATAGTCACCGTGTTTTTGTCCTTCTCCCTCAGCAAGCAGGATGAGCGCAAAGTCTCGAACATGATGACTGAGTACAAAGAATCCATCAAACTACAGGTTTACCAGCCACAGAGTCGAACCTGTCCTTTACCTTCCCCAAGATACTGAAGTACATGCAGCTCTACTTACTGTTGCTTTTGGCAAGATCCTAAAGATACTGAAATCTTTCTGCTGTGGGTGGATGATGAAGATCCAGTGACGCATTTTAGAAGAACATACTTTGTTTTCTCCTCCCTTGCAGGGCTGCATGATACTTAGTTGGAGCCATTCACTTCACTTCAGAGATACTTTTATTTCTTTTTCATCTAACGTGAATGATGTTTAGGATAATACGACTGATTTGGAGACTTTCCAGACTGAGAAGCAATATACAAATGTAAAGCTGTCTTAGATTTGTATAGGAGAGCCAGAACAACTCAAGCAGTTCAGTAAGTAAGAAGAAAATTCATAAAATGCAGCCAATAGGCTGTACTGCTAAACCACTGTACTGCTATTAGTAAGCTGTTGGACACTTGCTTGTTCTCCTCTTTAAGCCATAATTGCTGCTATACACAGCACCCACCCCAGAGCATCATCACCCAACTGAGAGTAACCTAATGAGCCTCTGCTGCATGATACAACAGCAGCAAGCCAGTGTAGTGAAACACAGATCTCATTACTGCCATCACCCTCTCTGGATTGAAGCGACAGAGGGACAGACGCTCTCTCGGCTGCTAAACCGCCTGTCCCCCTTACTCGTCTCTGCTGCGCTGTTTGAACTTAGAGGAGACAGAACAACTCATGGTCTTAGTCTTAAGCAAATCAACACCAGTTTTGTTTTATTAAAAACAGGGTGGGATTAGGAAATGTGTGATCAGGAGAATTCTTCCTGTAGCCCAGCTTTCAGGTTCAGGGAGAGGGTGAAATGCTGCTTAAATTAATGAGTGTGGAACACAGCTAGGTGAGCAACTTCCAGGCAGGACCAAAACTCAAGTTTTTCCTCCTCCCAAGCAAACGCCTTAACCAAGAAAGCAATAGCTCCTGTGGTCTTGGCACCACAGAACCTCGCGTTGCCTGATGCAAAGCAAAAGAAACCTAACAGAAAGGGAGGAGAGTGTCAGGGCGCTCTAGCAATTTGTTGGCTGGTGGCCATGGCACTGTTTTGGGAAGTGAAATACACGGGTTTTTAAACTCTCCAGATGAGAGATGGAAGACAATTGTTCTGTCATAGGCAAGGGCTCTACCAACTAGGCAACAGTGGCATCTCCACTTCCTGAAGTGTCTTGAGAGAGACAAAACAAGCCCTGCCGCTTTCTTCAAAGGAGAGGTACTTCGCTCTAGGACAGCGTTTGTAGCTGTAAACTCAATGCGGAGGGGCAGCCACTTTCTGCTGAGCTACATGCCTAAACAAGGAAACGGGGTGAGATAGGCCATCAGCACTGGGTTCATTGTGCGTTCTCTGGGCTGCTGGTGGCTGTTGGTCTCGCATAGAGCTAAACTCGCTGTACGATGCAAGGAGTCGAGTGCTTATGTCAGGCCTGCGGTCTTAGCTCACAAGGCTACGTGCCCCAAGAGTTTAGTGCTGCAACGTCAAGCTTCATCCTACCAACAGCCCTTTCTGAATCCAGCCTGGAAGAGTCTCCAAAGGCAAGTGTTGGAAGCTGTACCATAGCAGGAAGCTGTACCATAGCAATTTTAAGTGAAAGCCAGTCAAATATCAGGACTATATGACAGGCTAAAATCCCACGCTGACAGTGGACAAACATTAAAACTCGACAAGTTCACTGCGGCAAGGTCTTTGTGCCTACGCATTATATTAAAGAAATCCCTGTTTGGTTGCTCAAACTACATTTCAGCCCTTCTCTTAGGACTTAAAGCAAACACAAAAGCCTTGCCATTTGGTAGAAGCTAGATTATCCAAATCACTGGAGTCAAGAAAAGTGCAGTAGAAAGAGAAAGAAACATTAGCAGGTTTGGGTGCCCAGGATCTTACTATACTGCAGTAAAGACCGCAGTATATATAGAGCTATAAAATTCACTTTTATATTAAAGAACCTTTGAAATTATCTACTCAGATATCCCATATGGTATTTAAATGTGTTTCATTACTATTAGAAATGAGTAGGAACCACATGCCTTTCTTATTTATATTGGCATAAATTCGGAACAACTCCACAGGCTTGAACTGAAACAAACACGATTTACACTGAGCTGTATTGGAGCGCATGTCAATTTTAAGGTTCATTTAGAAATGCAGCTGGACAACTGTGTCTCAGTAATACAATAAAAATTGTGAATGAATTTGAACACAAACCATTTCACAAGTTCCTGAAAGGAAGTCAAACAAGCTACCAGCATTTTCAAGTAGCTTTTAACACTATGGCCTTTTTATTTTGAACACAAACCAGCCTTTTTTCCTTTACTGTTTGATCGCGCATGGCAGGAGATTAAAGTATTTTCTCGGTTGATTATATTACACTATGCATCTGGGAACTAGATTTTAATACCTTCAGATATGTACGCTATTCAATGTGATTTACCTAATAAACTGCATTGTTAGGATAAAGAACAAATCCCATCCATGGCTAGAACTGCAAACCCATTAGACTAGTGACTGTTTTTCCCTGGCAGGCACGTTTATGCATTAAATTGGTAATGGCTGTTGTCTTGTTTTAAAGTTGTGTTTAAATCTCCAAGAGTTTTAACTGTAAATACTAGGCCAGAAGTGTGCTAGCAGAAAAACAGTATCAAAATAGGACCGGTTTTGCAATCTTCTAGTATCAGTCTGTTTCAAGTTGACACAGCCAAATCTTTTGGAATAAACACACTGATTCAGCACATTCACAGGAACAGCATTTTATGCAGCTAAAGGCAGTTTCTACCAAACTCCCTAAAATTATATCACTATTCATACCACGGGAAAATCTCAGTGCTGCATTTGGGTTCAGTCTCAAGTCCCTCAGCCCAATCCCATCCCAGGGGTCTCGCAGAAACTGGCCGTTGCCCTTTCCTACTTTGGGAATTGGAAAATTGAAAGTATGTGGAAGAAAAACATTACCTGCGGTATCATACAAATTCAGGATGACTTCTTTGCTGCCAACTGTAATACTGGTGGTATACTTCTCAAAAACAGACGGTGCATATTGCTGTAAACACAGGAAAAATAAGTCTAGTTACTGAGCAGTAACGTGCAACCCAGGTACCACCAGGGCCGCTGCTCGGGTGACCCCGAGGCGCTCCCGAGGGGGGCCGCAGGGACACCCCGTCTCGCAGCCTGGGCGGCTTCGTGTTTCGTCCCTTCCAAACTCGCCCCACGCTCGCGGGTTTTCACCTATTTCTGCTCCCAGCCTTTAAACTCATTTCCCCAACCCCCCACCCCAAACACTTTTTAAACCCTGGTGCTAAGGGAAAGCCCGGGGCCTCTCTCCCGGCCACGAGTTAGGGCGCGGGGATTTCAGTGCTGTTTCGGGTGTCTCAGAGGGAAAAAAACACCAAAAAAAAGCCCTTAAAAAAAAAAAAAAGGAAACCAAAAAAAAAACCCTACCCCCGCCCTGGG